TCGGCCGCGCTCCTGGGCTCCCTGCTCCCCGCAAGACCAAATTCCGCAAGCTGAGACATCCGTGAACATCAAGTTGCCTCTTTTGAGCTGTCTTGCTTCTCTTGTATCACTTAATTACTATTCAGATGGGAAAAATACCGCATCAAGACAGAAACAGAAAATGTTTAAAAGCGAGTAATTATATCTGATGGCTAAAATCAGGAAGAAAACACCTTACTTGATCTCACGCCGTTTTGTTAAACTACTGTCTCCTTTCCACTAACAATAAAACGGGGATAAATTTACGCCCCTTCCAGGGAAAGTGGCACGGGTTAGGAACCTGCAGAAGGGTAAGAGCATTCCTAGAGAGAAGCGTTTATCTGAAATATCGGCAAATCAAGACTTTGCAAGCAATAGCGAGCAGGAGGAATCTGCCGTTAATACCATTATGGCTCTGGCAGCTTTTCCCCCTTTCCTTCCTGCAACCGATTGCACCGAAACGCTCCCCATTTCATCTCCTCCTGACAGAAGGACACACGCAGCAGTTCGTCCCCGCTGCATCAAATAACCGAGCACGGGTGTCCAGGAGGATTCTCACGCCCTGGGCTTCAGGCTACCGAGAAGGCAGATAAATCCTTGGCTGAAAACCCATCTGCTCTCCATCCCCAGACAGAGACCGGAGGAATGGATACCAACATCTCCTCCATCCCTAAGGGAGATATATTAGCTGGTTACGTAATAAAACTAACAGCATGGCGCTCCCAAGGACTGCCGCGCCGACAGAGCCCTTCCCCTTAATACCACCGGAGATTAGAGCAAATCGAAGACGAGTGGAAACAAGGCGAGGGGCTGCGGGCGAGGTTTTTGCACAGAGGAAAATGCTGCGGTCTCTCCCCTTAATGCACTCTAAATCCCATCTGATTTCCAACTGTGCTGCTGGAAAAAAAAAAGAAAAGAAAAAAAAATGGGAAGGGAAGAAAAAAAAAAAGCCCAGCCTGCATTGAAGTGCTATTGATGCTCGGTGAGCGAGGTAGAGTGACTCTGGAAGGGTGTGGAGGAGGAGACCTGTTTAGGGGAAGCATCCAGAGGAATCCAGACCACGAAAGCCCCCTGGAAGCAGACCAAAAGGAGTCAGGGGTGCAGATCTGCTACAGGACGTTAACGTGCTTTTACAAATCTGATTAGTTGCTGGTTTTGAGCATCCAGGGTCAGATCCTTCCTTCGCTAAACGCACAGCGCTTATCCCCCTCATGCCAGGCTGCCGGCAAAGTGGAATACAGCACAACCCTACTCTTCCCTCTCAGGATCAGATGCATTCCGGGTGCCGAGGACAGGGTTTTCACTTCACTTCTGCTCCCTCTTCAGGCTGGCTGACTCCACAACAAGAGCCGTCAAGTCAAAAGCACGGAGTAGAAATTACTCTTCCCTCCACTGCTCCGTTTTTACTGCCGACTGACGTTTTAAAGCAAGCGCGTTCCCTACGAGGTGAGGATATCGATGATGGAAGTTGAACTGGAACAGGCTGCCCAGGGAGGGGGTTGAGTCGCCATCCCTGGATGTGTTTAAGCATCGCTTGGATGTGGTGTTGGGTGATATGGTCTAGGGGTGAACTTGCGAGTAGGGTTAATGGTTGGACACGATGATCCCAAGGCGCTTTTCCAACCTGGATGATGATGATGATGACTCTGTGATTCTGTCTCTTCTAGACAGATTTCTGCTTTACAGGTGAAGTGACAAGGCAAGAAGTCGTTGCTTTGCCACCCGAGCACACACGCTCCATTCCCCCTTTGACAACTGAAGTCCAAATAGCCCCGTCCTTGAGGCGATGTTTCTTCACGACTTTGCATCCTTTTTGAGCTTATTTTGATACGCTTCCTTCCACTTAATCGAAAGAAACAGTGAGTTTCAACTCTGACCTTGGAAAGCATGGGTAGGGCATCAGGCAGAAATTGAGCACAACTGGAAGCAATGGAGAAGCACCAACTAGACACGTTCGTATGTTCCAGTATCGTCTCTTCAACCAGTTTCTATGAACTTACTGTTCTATTCGCTACAAGCTTAGTTTGAATAATTGCAAAAGTCACCAAACTCAGCAGTAGAGACATCCAGGTAATGGGTGAGAAATGCTACGCAGAATCCCTAGAACCAAGCGATTGAATCCATTGGCAAGACAGAAAACAAAGCAGGAGGCCAAGAACCCGAGGCCGACTGCTGAGGGATGACTGCAAGGTGCCGCTCGAGCAGAAAAGGGACAGTTGCTCTAAAGCAGCCACCAAACAGACAAAAAAAAGTCGTGAGAAAAGAAGGAAATGAGTGGGGAACGGAACATCTGTCATACTCTCTGCCACTTCGCAGCGAAGTGTTTTGGAGATGAGTTTCTTATGGCGCTGACTAGCTGTGAGTTGACCGAGCCTTGTCCTCCCTGTGCAGGGAGATACAGAGAGATACCGAGTGAGGAGGAGTTTTCTCCTCAAAAGCTAAATATAAAGAGCAAACTGGCAGGAGGAGAAGAGTAGAGCCACCAGCACTAGGACAGTAAACAAGAGGTTAGTGCTACCTTTTTAAAGTCACAACCTAGTTAGCGACCATCTGCAGCGAGGTGGAACTGTTTTACTAGGGAAAACTTGACATTTCAAGTAAAAGAGAGGGAAAACCCCTAGCTAAGGGAGAAAAAAATACACAAACAAACACATAACAAAGTAAAATCTTTCTGGCAGCCTTACCATTGGCATCTTGGACTCCGGTAAGCGCTCCTACTGCTGCTGCGGTTTCACCAGACAGAACAATTTGTCCTCCACCTTGAAGAGTGGCTTCGGCAAGCGTGGCTACTGCGTGGGCAGCTGCTTCACTGCGGGCACGGGAAAGGAGAAAGAAGAATTAGGAAGACCGAACGAACCAGTAACGCCACTCCAGAAGCGTCCGTTTTACGCAGGCATCACGCGTCAAGAGGACAAATCCAGAAAGGAGGGACTCTTACTGGGCCCCAGACAAGTTATGCAGAGCAGAAATCTCCAGGAGAGGAGGAATGCACGGGAAGAAGCTGCTTCCCCCGGCTTTTTTTCAGCTTGCAGGTCTCTCAGAGCATCCCTGCCCTCTTACCTTTGAGTCCTTTCACTTGGGACTTTACTAAAAGCTTTCGGACAACCCAAGTTAAGTTTCTGGTACAAAACTCACTGTTTTGGCACTGTCACATTCTGGGTCTCTACAGCTTTTAGAGCTCTACCTCTCAGCGCTGATTCCGCCAGTTCACCTTGCACTGAAACACGCCCAGAGGTTTACCACTACCAGGATCACATCAACAGCTCTGTATTTAGCTAAGACGGAGTACTTCTCCCCAGCCAAGTGGCTTAATAACTCTTTTTAATGAGTGATGGGTAGCTTAGCACAATATTCTTACATTTCTTTACAGGAGTGAGGTCAGACCAAAGGTCCTTCTCGTGCAGCAAGCCTGCCAGCATCAGGTGTTTAGGAAGGAGGGTGTATGAACCTTCCCTTCCTACACCCTCCAGCTCCTGACGGTCGGCAGCGCACTGATTTGCTACGTCAAGACCACATCTGGACCATCAGGTTTGGTTTGTCTAATCCCCTTCAAAACTCATTTTTACTTTTTGCTTCCATAGCATCCTGTAGCGATGAGTTCCACATTTAATTAGATGCTGTGTGAAGAAAAATTGCATTTTTTTTTTTTTATTTTGAGAACTACTGCCCCAGTCTGGCCAGGCAGCCTTTACGTTTGAGATTGCGAGAAACAGAAAACAACTGTTCCTTTTCCATTTTCCTCATGATTTCATAGAATTCCAGCAACCTCTTTGCCAAGCTGAAGAGCCACAGCTCACTCACTGTACAAGGACTCCTCTTGGCTTCTGGTCACTTCTGTCCTTTCCACTTTTTCTAAATCTAAGACATCGGTTGAAGAGGCTCTTTAAGATGTAGACAAGCTATGACTTAGCCCAGGGGCTTAATCCTGACGTGCCCTATGCCATTCCCTACAATTCCTAACATTTAGCTTACTCTTTGGACAATACCTGCTGAGCAGTGACAGAACAATCCTGGAGGACAGTCCCTGACTGCTTTCTGAACGGTAACTGGCAGCATATAGTTCCTCAGTGGGGATATACAGGAGGTTATTTCTTCGTACGTACATCACTCGGCATTTATCAACATTGTGTTTTCTTTGCCCCTTGCTTGCACAGAGTGCTGTGAGCATCCTTCAGCAGCCGCCTAGATTTCTCCAGACCCGGTGGATGACTTTTAGCCACTCCTGGTGACCTACTGCTGGTCACAGAACTAGTCTGAAGCCACCTCCTCCCTGCAGCTGAATTTCCTACCATTTTTTACCTTAAGGAACTAAAAAAGTAGGGATTTTCTTTAGCTTCCCCTAGGATGCTCTTCCTTAACCGCCCTGCTCCTTCTCTTGTACACCAATTGACTCAAATATTTTCCAAGCACTTCCTACTCATCCTTTCTCTTTCCTAATTTCCTGCTTAGATGCTGTCTGCTTGCCAACTCCATTCACTTGGGGTGTATTTTCATTTCTAAGGAGCCCCTCTCTCTCCCTCTCTCGGAGCGGCTCTTAAGTACTGTTAGCGAACCAGAATATTTTCTTTTCCTGCTTTCTTATTTCCTTTGGCTCATC